TGGCCCTGTAGCCCAGTAGCTGTGGCCCTGTGGCCCTGTAGCCCAGTAGCTGTGGCCCTGTGGCCCTGTAGCCCAGTAGCTGTGGCCCAGTGGCCCTGTAGCCCAGTAGCTGTGGCCCAGTGGCCCTGTAGCCCAGTAGCTGTGGCCCTGTGGCCCTGTAGCCCAGTAGCTGTGGCCCTGTGGCCCTGTGGCCCAGTAGCTGTGGCCCTGTGGCCCAGTAGCTGTGGCCCTGTGGCCCGGTGGCCCTGTGGCCCAGTGGCCCTGTGGCCCAGTAGCTGTGGCCCTGTAGCCCAGTAGCTGTGGCCCTGTGGCCCTGTAGCCCAGTAGCTGTGGCCCTGTGGCCCTGTAGCCCAGTAGCTGTGGGACCATCTGGTGAATCTAGCCTAGATCTGATTCAAAGTAGCCGCTAAAACATAAACATAAAACCATAGAAGAAGAAAGGAGGCGCCCCCTGCAGGCACTCCCAGGTATTCTGCAGACAGTCTGTTCACAACTGAATAAATGAAGCTTCTGGGGATGAAAATGAAATTCTGCTGCTGGGAAAAAAAATACTTTATGATTCCAACAAACTTTAAAACTCATCATTGTGTTTTTTTCTTTTGAAATTACAAAACAGGAAATAATTACAGTTGGTATTAACATTAGTGCAATTACAAAATCAGAGTTATAAAATGATCTGTGTTCATGTTTGGAGGTGCGTCTGTAACCGGAGCAACCAGCCAATCAGAGGACAGGTCATGGAGGTCAGCTCCAGGTTTAGTCCCTTTTTACAAAAAAGTTCTTCCAGCAGAACCGACTCACAGAGCGTTACGTTTCCACTCGCCTGCGGCTGTCAGTCGCTCAGCGGCAGACCGCCAGGCGCCGCACCGTACACAGGTCACTCAGCAGGCGCCTGATTCGCTGCTTCAGCTGCGGGAGGCGGGACAAAGGGTCTGGAGGCTCCAGCTCCCCGGAGTGGTCCAGCCAAGACTCCAGAACTGCAGGGAGAAAAATAAAGTTTTCTCAATTTCCTCATCAGAGTGGAAACATAAATGTAAAAGCTGTCCTGTATCTGTGTGTTACCGTCCAGCTCTCGCTCGATCAGGTCCATCCTGGCGGTGATCTGGTGATGCAGCGCCTCGACGTGCTCCAGCAGGTTGAGCCGACACTGAGCCACAGACACGGCGGCCTGTCTGTGGGTGTGGCCGGCGTCCTCTGAGTGGCTCTCCGGCTTGATGCTGAGGAAGAAGCGAGCGTCTGAGTGGCTCACGGCGTTGGCGTCCATGATGCTCAGAGACGGTTGTTTCCTCAGATCTTCATGCTTCAAACAGAAACAACAATTAGAACCAAAGGTTTACACATTTTATTGTGCTTTAATGGGATTTCATGTAACACAAGGTTGGTTTTAAAAATTTCATAAATAAAATCATCATTCTGCTCTGCAGTCCGCTCCTTTCCCCTTCTTACTCGGCTAAAAATCTAATTGGATGGAGAACTCCTGTGGACATCAATCTTAATGTCTTGCTGCAGGTTATGAGCTGGATTTAGGTCTGGACTTTAACTAGGCCACTCCAAGCCTTAAGCGGTTTAATGAAAAATCTGCAGAATTTGCCAACTTTTTTTTATCTGATGTTTTTGTTTATCTCTGTGTTCATCTGTCACAGAAAAACGTGAAGAACTCCGTCTGCAGGACGCCTCACAGAGTGAGAAGTTTATTTTAGTCCCTCGTTTCCTGAACCCAGACTGACCTCTCCTACCTTTTCCTCAGCCGTTTCCCAAGATGCCTCTGGTTTCTGGTAGCAGTGTTCGCTGCTGACGTAGCAGATGGACGGCTCGTCCTGCTGGCCGGACGTCAGGTTTAGAGCCTCCTCCTGTTGCCATGGCGATCTCCACAGCTGCAGGTCGGGGTGGGACGGAGAGCTGCGCAGACGGAGACAGAGATGCTGAGCAGAAGTTTCTGTAGATGTGCGCCCCCTGGTGGTGCCTCTGCTATAGTTTCTGTAGATGTGCGCCCCCTGGTGGTGGGCTGAGTGCTCTACTCACTGCAGCAGGCTGATCTTGAGCTGCAGGCCGCTCAGGACCTGGTGCAGGCTCTGCGTCTGGGCCAGCAGGTGGCTGGTGTGGGAGATCTTGGAGGCGTTGATCTCCGAGTAGTTCTCCTTCACGCAGGACAGGCCGAACATGTGACCCGAGATCAGCAAATCGGGTTCAGACAGGAAGCGCTGGGCCCGCCTCCAGCCTGCAGAGGAAGCAGACGGATCAGAGGAAGCTTCCTCCTGTTTTCTGCCCCTGCAGCGCAGCGGAGCGGATCCTACCTGAGGTCTGCCTGCAGTAGTAACAGATGTAGTTGTGAGGAACGTTGTCTTCATATAGACCCATGCAGGTTCCATGCTGCCAGCAGAGACACGACTCGCACTGTAGAGACACAACGGCAGAAAATATTCCCTCTGGGTTTGATCCATTTAAGACCATCAAACAAGTTTAAAATCACAGAAAATCTGATAAAAACAAGAAAAAATGGAATTTATATCAGTAAAAGGAGAAGCTGCTCCATAGCAGTGTATCTATAGATTTGAAAAGGCTGATGGGAATGGCAAAACTCAAAATAATTTCTTCCATTTGGTAGTTTCTGTTTGTTTTCAAGTTTTTACTCGAGCTGTAGGATTTTTTTTTGGCTTTTTTGAAAAAGAGTTAAAGCGCTAAATGGGAAATGGAAATACGCTTGCTGACTAAATTCTGTCGTAGAAAACGGTCCATCGACTGGTGGGTCTGTGCCTTACCAGGGGTCCAAACGTCTGGAGTTCAGAGGAGAAAACTCTTGTTTTCGACTTCTACTTCCTGTTTATCACAGCCATTAATAACATCAACACCTGATGAAAAAACGCGGTGCGTGGCTGATTCGCTCCGGATTAACGATGCTCTGGCATTTATATGCCAACTTCACAGTAGATTTTAATTTTATTTTTTTTTTGTCTGACATTTTAAAATTTCACTCAAAATATTATAGACAATTAGATGTAAACATAGCAGAGTTGAAGTCAAGAAGGCGTTTGGCAGCTGGGATCTGCCTACAGCTGGAGCTACGATGTGAACGAGCTGAACAGCAGGAGGTCTGAGAACATGACTGGATGGGGCTGAGAACCAAGCCCTGAGGTACACCACTATTAAAAAGTCACGAGTGAAAGAATAGGTTTTGTTTAAGAGATAAAAGTCAGTAAATTCAGAGCCCAGAATCTGATCAATTTTACAGATTAATTCAGTTTATTAATGGGTCAGAACCATTTTGGTCTAAATTAAATGAAATATTTCTCTTTATTTCAAAAATAGAATATTAAAAATTAGTCAAAGTTTTCACACAGGATTTGTGAAAATTAAAGCCTGATGCTGACTTTTTATGGACTGTGTGTGTGTGTGTGTGTGTGTTACCTGAATCATAAAGTCGTTCTCTTCGTCCACCTCGCACACGCACCTCACCACCTCACAGTCCTCCGTCTCCATAGCAACGGGCCAGGGCGTGTCCTCGCCGCTCTCGGCCGTCAGCGTCGACCAGTCGCTGCCGTCGTCGACTGGAAGCAGAAACAAAATCAGTGTTTTGTTGGTTTTTTGAACGAGAAAGGGGGAAATCTGGAGTGTTTTCTGCTCGGACCGTGTGAGTGTGAAAGCTTCAGAGTGAGGGGCGGTCGGTCCGGCGTGTCGTCGTCGCTGCTGCCGAATCCTGCAAAAAGGACGAACACAGACAAATTATTCCACTGAGATAATCCAGATTTCAGGATAAATTAATCAGATTAATATTTAATCTGAGCTGGAAAGCAGGCTGAGGAGGAATCCAGATGCTCTGTTACCTGACTGGCTCTTCTTCTTCTTCTTCTTTTTCTTCTTCCTCAGTTTGACTCGCAGGAAGTGCTTCCTCTCCTTCCTGTCGTGTCCTCCTGGTTTCTCCTTCCTCTCCTCCTTCTTCAGCTCTGCAGGCAGAATTCAGACGTTTGGCTCATTTTGTCCCACAGAAATCTGTTTGAGAATCACTGAGCTCCAACCCACCGGTTCCCATGATGCTCTGCTCTCTGTCGTCACGGCGACAGCTGCCGGTCTGGATGTCGGCCTTCTTGCTGGACGGGAAGTCGCCTCCTTCAGAAGCAGACCTTTTCCTCCTGTAGCGGCGGTAGAGACAGAAGGTCAGGGGTCATCATGGAGGCTGTGGGGCTGAACTCACCTGGACTCACCTGGAGGCCTCCGGCTCCGCGCCGCCGCCAACGTCCAGCTGCTGCTCAGAGTGGTAGTACTTGATGTGGTAGTGCAGCAGGCTGGCCTTCCTGAAGGACTTGGAGCAGCCGGCAGCCGGACACTTGAAGGGGTTGTGGTCCAGCTCGATGGACAGAATAGGAGGAGGCTGGTTCTTTATCACCCTGTACACTGCAGGAGCACACAGAAACAGAACCTCACCAAGTACTTTGGCTTCTGGTGCCAACATCTTGAAATAAGACAAAAAAAACTTACAAAGTAACTTTTCAGCAAAATAAAGGAGCTGTACTTTTAACCAATATCAGGGAATAATTGACTTAAAACAAGCTCCTTTATCTTTCTGAAAAGTTATTTGTAAGTTAGTTTTGTCTTATTTCAACTTTTCTCAGATATTTGCAGTAGAAACTAGACCAGAAATACTTGGTAGGATTTTGTATTTTTGCAGTGGGGATGATGGAGGCCCAGTGGTGGGCGGAGCTTACGTGGCTCTCTGCTGAACTTGTGAGTGGTGGGAAGGTGAGCCTGGCGCTCCATCAGGACATCTGAGGAGGAGGAGAGGAACAATGGACCAATCCTTAAATGAGAAACTGATCACAAACATCTAAAACTCAGCCACTGTCCCCTTTGGTCTGCCGTGACAGACGACAGTATTTAGCAACAAAAAAAAAAAAAAATCAGAATCGGCACATCCAGCTTTTCAAAGATCAGTGATCATCCAGAAAACTGCGATCAATGCACCTCTAATCTGGATTTAATCTGCTCCAAATGTGAAATCAAGATTTGAGTGAAACATTCAAGCAACACTGGATGGAAATAAATCAGAAGCTGATGGAAACAACGCCACAGAGCTATCATCAACGTTTAAGATTTGTGATTTTGACCAGGTTTATGTCCCGACCAGGAGAAATGAACTGGAACATAAGAAGGACGACCACAGGAAAGAACAACCGACCCGGAGCTCATTGGTTACCTTTGTCAATGTGGGCGGGGTTAGGAACCGCTGCCAGGGTGGAGTCTGCTGTGATTGGCTGTTTCTGAACTACATCACTTCTGTCTGAAAGACGAGAAAACAAACCGTGTTTACCTTCAACCTGAAGACAATCAGGCATCAAAGCTTAACTCACTGTTTTCTGTCTTTTTCTTCGTTGGTGGATGAGAGGAAGAAGGCTCTGCTGTCTTCCTCTCCTCCTCCTCTTCCTCAGCTCCTTCCTTCTCCTCTGATGTCTCCTCTTCTCCTCCCTTCTTCTCCTCCTCCTCCTGTGTCTCCTGGCCTTCCCCCTCTTTGGGGTTCTGCTCCTCCTCCTCACTCTCGCCCTCCTCCCATCCCTCGCTCCCCACTGCGCTCCTCTCTGATCTGGACCTCTGGACCACAGACAGCAGCATCAGTGAAGATGAGGAGCTGTTGGAGGAAGGTGAGGAAGGTGCAGCGGTTCTTACTTCGTGGAAAGGTTTGATTTTGGTCGGCTTCACCGTCTGGACCACGCCGTCGTAGAACCGCACCGTGTACGAGTCTGGGACGGGAACGCAGGGTTAGGCCGATCACTGCAGACCGAAACTTAAAGCCGTCCAACTGGAGTTACAGTTAAACATGTTTCTCTTTTGTTCCTTTTTTCAGACTCAGACAAGCAGCTTCAGACATTCAGAACCAGATGTGAACACAAGCGTTTTATCAGAGACGTCTGTGTTGAAAGATATGACCGAGAATCAGGACCAGGCAGAGGAAAAACATTAGATTATGAGAATAAAGTGGCATGACAGAGAGTCAAAATAATGAGAAAAGACGTAATGATACGAGAACAAGCTCATAATATTATGAAAACAAAGTCATAAAATACTAGAAAAAAATGTAAATGACACGAAAATAGTCACAATATTACCAGAATAAAGTTATAATAATATGAGAAAAACGTCAAATCAGAAGGTTGACGTAATAATAGAAATAAAGTCATAATATTACGAGAACAAAGTTGTAACATTAGTACAATGAAGTAGTAATTTTAAGATAACTCCAACATAAAAAGTAATCAGAAATTAACATGAGGAATGTTGAGCATTTTATGAAGTCAAACTTTGTGATCAGTTTTACAAATAAGGATGATATTTAATATCAGCGTCCAATTATTAAAGAAGCAGGACTTTGAAACAAACGACGGTTAACTTCAAAGAACAAATGACTAGACGAGCTGCTCAGTAAAGAGACTTTCCTTTAACTTTCTCCAGGTCTGACTTTATTCTGATAGTTTCATAATAAATCTCTTCGTCTGGCCCTCATGTTCTGTTGTTAAAGGTCAAAGTTGAGTCTCACCGTCCTTGTTGACTTTGAGGATTTTTGCCGGGTAGAAGCGACAGTCGGTCCAACAGGCCAGAACTTTGGAGCCCAAAACGAAGACCTGAGCCAGGAAACAGGAGGAGAACGGAAAGTGAGCCGAAACGACGCTCTGACAGAAACACGACAAGACGGAGGAAACGCTCTGGTTCCTGCTTTAACAACCTGACGAATGCTTCATGTCAGACATTTCTCATAGACTCTTACTGAAAATAAAATACTTGCAAAATAAAATTATTATTTAGAAAATAATCATGTAAATATTTTTAAAATATTCCATATTTGAAAAATAATTTTTAGTCCTTTTAAAATAATCACGTTATTACAACATATTTGATAAATATTAAATTACAAAATTTAATATTTATCAAATAAGCAGATCTAAAATGTGTGAAAATAATTTTATTTTGATAAAAAATAATTTAGAAACTTTAAGTTGATAAAAAATGATTTAGAAATTTTCTAAATTTTCTAAAATAATTTAGAAAATCTGTTCTTATAACAGATTTTTAAATAATCTGTTATTTAAAAAACAGATTATTCATATTTATAAATTAAATTCTACGGTTGTACTTGTAGCTATCATCAATTATTAAAACAATCCTAATAATGGTAAGTAAACAGCTCAGCATTGATAAGCAGCGTTGGTACCGGCTGGGCCTGCGGCGGCGTCAGGCCCTGCCTCCTCAGGCTGACGCGCTCCAGCGGACGAAGGTACGGCGAGCTCCAGTGGAACCACTCGTTGTGCCGACGGCTCCACTGGCGGTAGTGGACCAGAACCCGCTCCTTGTCATAGTCAATCTTCTCAATAGTGGCAGCGTACCTGAAGAGACAACAGCTCAGGTGAGTCAAAGTCACTCAGAACAACAAAAATGATCAGCTGAACTGTCCAATTATTTACTGTATGCTTCCCATCGTGAATTTAACCACAAACAATCCTGTAAACATTATGTATAAAAAATGGAGAAATATTTTCTATTGTGTTCCAACATTATTATCCTAATGTTCCTGTTTAATCAGCACAGAACTGATGACAGACTCTTCTTCAGGAGTCTGTGTCCACTAATCCACTAGTTTGGGCTGCTGTTTGTAAAGCTACACAGTCAAAGATTAGCAACATAAATTAGCGTTATTTAGCTTGTCATAAGAGAAAAAAAGACATATCTTTATTATTTTTATTCATTTATTTATAAATGATTTATAAGTAAATCCCCAACAAAGCTATTATTTTACTATTTCGCTAAAGATGTTTGAGTTAACAAGTTATCACTGGAAAGAGGCTAACTGGGCAGCTAACTGGAACAGAAGAGGATGGTCAGAATAGTTCAAACCTATGCCAGGTACTAGTAACGTACGTGTGTGTGTGTGTGTGTGTGTGTGTGATGCAGACCAGTTCTTCTGCCGATCTCGGGCCTCCAGCTGAGCTCCGACCTCGAAGGTGATTCCCGACCTGTCTGGTGGAGTCTTCATCTGCCGGAAAAAGACACAGAGCCGCTGTAAAAGCTGAAACTTTTTTATTATTACACATCATGAATGTTTGTGTTTGTATTCTCTCAGTTGTCCAGGAGATGGAGCTGTTTGTAGAGCAACTTTCTGAGACACACACATCAAACCCCGCCCAACATTTCATCCTTTTGTTTTCTAAGTTTCTGAAAACACTTTTTATATTATATGTGTTCATAATTAATATGTAAAATAAGACAGAAAAGAAATAGAAAGTGAATACAATTAAAAACAAAGACACGCCTCCCAGCCTCGGACGCTGATTGGCCCACAGAGCTGTCAGTGGAGAACAAGACCCGCCTCCCAGATCCTCAGATATTTGACAGCGGCTAAAAGCTAATGCTATCTGTTGTTGTAGGCGTCAAACTACAGCGAGCAGCGCCGCGGCTCCCGGCTCAGAGTTATTCACAAACACACGCTACTCAACTTCCACTACGTTTCAAAGCAAACGGGTGAAGTTAGTATGAGAGCTGTGCAGCTGAGCGGACTGAATCTCCATTGACTTTGAATAGATTAGCTAACAGCTAACAGTTAGCCTCAGCTGAGATGAAGCAGCTCAGTGTCAATAACAGCCTGAGCTGTGACTGTGAGCCGCTGCTGCTGGAGGAGAAGCCTTCAGAGAACATCCAACCTGCCGATGAGTTGACAGTCTTAATGAAAAGCAGCGACAGAGCGCCTGTTTACCTCCGGATCTGCTCCTCAGCTGCTCCTCATACTCCGACGGATGCACAGCGCATGCGCCAGGACGGAAACTCAGCTGTCCCGTAGAAGAAGCTGTAAGAGTGAGTGTGAAGTCTGAGGACTAGGTGTAAACCTGAAAGCAAAGTAGCTTTAAAAGAGCAGATCCTGATTTATTTAGCTCGACCTCCTAGCAGCGGATTTATCTCCAGGCTATCGGTGGTTCCTGCATATCGGCCAAATGTATGTAGGGGACAGAAACCACAAGAGATGCTCTATTCAAATGATATCAAAACAAAATCTTTCTGCCCTAAATAATAAACTATGTGCGGTAGAAAAACATCCCTACCTTGTACCACGGTGGTGGCAGCATCATGCTGCGGGGATGCTTTTCTCCAGGAAGAATGGGGAAAATGCTTAGAGTTCATTAAAAGATAAATATTTTGCAAATATTTAGCGAAGCTATTTTTGTATTTTATTATTTTTTGCTAAGCACTTTATCATTTTTACTAACTTTGTAAACGATTAATGCAACAAGCTTTCCCTAAAATCATTAATTATGGTTAAATAACTTTGCTGTTTTGCAGAATTTCAGCGGAATAAAGTTCTCCCAACGCCTCCCAACCTTTCAAGAGCAAATATAATTTGCATTGGCGTTAGCATTAGCTTCTGCTAAATGCCACTTTGATCTAGTGGTTTAGTGTCAGTGATGCTGTTTCAAAAGGACAGGAAAATATATAATACATAATATCAGTAAACATTGCTTATAGGTCATAGCAGCAATGTTAATTTTGACATTGGCCCAAAGTTGTCATATCAGTTCATTACTAGTTTGGATCAAAGCTGATCAATGGGTTAGAACGGCCTAGTTCAAGTCTAAAATAAATGTTAATGGATTATCTCCATCCAGTGTGGCTGAGTTTGAGCTGCTTTATGCAGAAGAACAGACAACAAATTTAGTTCTGCTTTTTGTTCCAGATCAACAGAATCAGCAATGGAAAAAATCACATTCTGGATTTTCTAGATGCTGCAATTACAGAAACATCAAAGTCCAAACTATTTATTCCACTCGTCTGATTGATACATGGCATTTTAGTGCGACATCATGGATCAGTGAAGAAAAGGACAGAGCAGAAACTCCTGGTAGCTGGAATAGACGGCTGCTGCTGAGTTCAGTGGTTGAAGTGAGAGGAGAGCAGAGGGTTCTGCTGCAGCTTCACCATGAAAGCTTCATGTTTTTCCTCTAGTCTCTCCATGTGCCTGTAAAACACACACACACACACGGCTCAGCAGACTCCTACAGGCGCTCTGGTCCAAACGTTCCCAAACTCTGCAGTTGTAATCTTGTTGATTTCAGCTTTCCTTTGATGCTGTGATGATTTTTTATTATTAATCCACAACCTTTAAAGATGTTTTATGCTGTGTGATGCATCACTCTGCAGGAATTGCCAGGTTGCTGCTGGCCGACTGTCTGCAGTGTGTAGGCAGTGGGAGGGGCTTACAGCAGCACTCAGTCAGGACCATCACTGCACAGCGACCGGCGCTTCATGCTGTCGCTAGAGGATCTGAAAAGTCGCTCTCAGCTTAACCCTCTCTGCTCATCCCAACGCCTGGCCACGCCCCTCAATGTCAATTGGCTCCGCCCACTTTGGTAGACTTATTTCAGAGTTTGCCTGAAATAACCCCACTAAAGGCTATACTTTCACATCCAGATTGGTTCCACTTTAAATGGTGTGTGTTTACCTGTCGAGGCGTCTCTGGGCAGCAGATATGTGAAACTTTTTATCCCAGCACAGGTGACAGGCGAGCTCTGCCTCCTCCTGGCTCATCATGGGGTCGTGCGAGTGGCTCCTGCTGTCATTCTCCTCTGCTTGGGTCTCAATCACCTGAACACACATGGATGGAGGAGCGTTGCTGGAGCGGTGTTTTAGTGTGACCAGGGGTCCCCAAAGCGGGTCCTGGAGGCCCGGCATCCTGCATGTTTCCGTTCTCTCCCTAGTGGTTGTAAAAACCTCCTCAGCAGGTCAATGTTCCTCTTAGGCCTCTAATGAGCCATAATTTGATCCAGGTGTGTTGAACCAGGGAGAGAATAAAGCATGCAGGATGCCGGGCCTCCAGGACCCACTTTGGGGACCACTGGTGTAAACAGACAGGTGTTGGCCTGCAGGCGGAGCTCTGCCGCACCGCTTCCAAGTTCCTCTGCAGGAAGTCGGTATGCCTCTTCAGTTTTTCTTTGAATGCTTCTGAGCAGCCGAGGCAGAAGGAGGTGGCCTCCTCTGGAGTGAGAGACTCTGAGTTCCCGAGCCGGGCCAGGTACGGCACCATGACGTCCATTCCCAGCCGATGGAGGATAAGGGCCTCCTCTTTGGACGTGAGCTCCTGCAGCAGCAGACATGAATCAGTCATGGCGTCATGAACAGGACTGACCTACCGTCTGGGTGGATTTCTCCTCTACCTCCTCCCATTTCTCCCTGCAGGCCATGACCTCCTCCAGTGGAGAGGAGAACACCTCCAGCTCTTTCTCCTCCTGCTTCCTGCATTCCACGATGGTCTCCATCTGCTCACATCAGGTAAAGTCAGATTCAATCTAAAACTCTCAGAGTTTTACTGAACTTAAACATTGGGTAAACATCAGCATTGACCAGAGCAGCTCGTTGGCTGGAGGAGATGGAGTTCAGATCCATGGGTTTCACACCATCCACAATAAAACTGGCACAAGTTCCTACGACAGTCTGAAGATCCTCGGCTGCGTCGTTAACAGCGGCGCTATGCAGCGAGCTAGGAGAGCGTAGCAGCAAGACGGCCGAGCTGTCTGTGTTATTTCTATGTATCTTACTTTAAAGGAACAATCTTAATCTTTCAACCAATCACCAAAACAATGTTTACTTAAAGTGCGTTCACACCAGCCCTGCTTAGTCGGCTTTAATTTCTTCTGAGTCCAGTCCGTTTGCCCAGAAGGTCCGGTTCGGTCGTGGAGGTGTGAATACGTAATCTAACTCTGATTTGGACCAAGAGAGCCAACTCTACAAACGTCGGTCTGGGTTCGGTTCGGTTGCAGTCAGCTCTGGTTTGAATGTTTGTGTGGAGACCGCTCCAAAAGCAGGAAGTGGACTACAGTGCAGGGCATTCTGGGTAAATACAACTAAAAAAAAAATTAGCATGTCTACTGACAGCGGGAGAAACGGGTCATGGCCTTTTACCAAAGACAAAAGAGAAATCCTACTGTAACTAAATTAAAAATAATTAAAAATGAATAATCTTCATTTTTAAAGAAGTAAAGAGAAAAACGATGTTTCTGTTTGGAGAGAGGCTTCTCTGCCTTATGGGGCTCAACTGCACTGAGCAAATCTATGTTAGTCAGATTTATTGTCATCATGTGGTACTAATCAACAAATCAACAGTCTGAGTTTTTCTTTGGACTTTGAAAGTGTCCAGTCTCTCCTATACTTAGCAAAGAAAAGCAGAAGGACAGAAGATCTGATGTGATCCAGCTGAGGGACGTAGTTACCTCCACCAGAGATGCTTTGATTTGGAGAGCGATGTTCTCCTCTTCCCTGATCAGGTACTTCACCAACCTGTACCAGGTCAGGGGCCCAGGCGGCTCCTCAGCCTGGTCCACCTGAACACACACACACACACACACACACACACACACACACACACACACACACACAATAAAACAAATGTTTTCATCAGTCAGTCCAGCATGTTGGCTCTCAGATGTTCTGGACGGTCTCTGGACACTCAGAGACCGTCCCCACAGCCCAGTTCTGTGCTGGGCTTCCCCACAGAACCGACATCCCACCAGGACAGAAGAACAAACTCCAAATCTAACAGACTGGCTGCCAAACAACAGGAAATTCGTATTTTTTAGTCTGAAGCTCAAATGCAAAGTGTATTTTTCACGCTGTGAATGAGAATCTGCACATGGTGTTTAGAAACAATGCACAAGATTCAGGAAAAACACAAGTTAAATCTGAACTATACGCATCGGGTGACTTCTGTAAATGTGAACTCTCTTATTCAAAGGATGAGGAGAGGCCTGTCCTGGAAAGAGACACACACGCCACTGTGGGTCATTACATTAGATTACATTATTATGTTATTTTTTAATCTTGTCCTAATGAGGATCCTGTCTTTATGTCAGTGTGTTTGTACTTTATTTTTATGTTTTTTTAAGCACCAGACCACTTTTAAATGCATTATAATCTCATTTTATGGGAGATTAAGAAGAAGTGCAACATTGCAAAACAATTTGTGAAGCATCAAGGGAAACTTTTGATGGAGATGCAGAAACTTCACGTTAACAGGAAAAACCTGCAGATAGTGAAAAAACATCCTAATGCAGATGTTGAACCTACAGTGGCAGCAAAGCAGGGTCATGCTTGTCTGTCTTTCTGCTGAAATGAGATTTGCATTCAGTGATGTTCAGACAGGAAGAGGTCTGAGAAACGGCCTTAGCTGCAGATTCAGCCGTACCAAGAAGAAGGAGAACATGCTGTCTGTGATTGGCTCATCATCTTCTATTCTTTTGAGGCTCTTCCTGGAAGGGATAGTGCGGTGGTCCATGAGGTGATAGAGCAACTCGGTCTTCATCTCCGGCACCAGAAACACCCGCTGGGCCACGTCTTCGTTGACCGGTTTGGAGGGATTCCTATGGAAACGCTCCACCACTTTCTGAAACACACAAAAGAGCCGGGGCGTAAAACCATGGAAACGTGTGGCGCTCCCAACCGTTTGGTCGTTAACTTTAAGATAACATCTATTTGAACCGTCAGTGCATATTGTCCAGCATCAGTTTATCTCTTACCAGCACATTGAGATTCTCCAGGGTGGTCTCCTGGCCGTTCTCCGCAGAATACGGAGGGGGAATCATACCGCCCTCACGGAAAAAAATCTGTCTCAAGTACAGGAAGTCGTCTCGGTACTTGAAGGATTGCTCTATTGCTTGTGGCGACACCACGATCCGCTCCAGGCCGTCCTGTTCGGGGCGGTGGAACCTCATCTCTCGCTCAGTCCCAGAGTCCACTGGCTTCCAGGCGTGAACTGACCAGAGCGACAGACACCAACATTACAACCAGTTACAGGATTACATCAGGACGGCCCAGGCAGCATCTTCACGTATTCGTATGTGGGAAGATTTTAAATAGATTATAACAACGATGAAAGAGCAGAACATCAGGCTAAAGAAGCCTTCAGTAGCTTCTGGCTCAGAGTTCAGCTACATTTACTCAGTTATTTTTGGACTATTTTACTATGCTGTACTTTTACTTTTACTTGAGTAATTTATTATGAAGTATCTCTACTCTTACTTGAATAAAATTTATCCACCAAATGAAAAACAAAGACACACACTGCAGGTTTGGTGACCATCTCCCAAGTTTTATATAGAAAAACTGATTTGTAAATA